GTATCGTTGAAAAAAGTAGGTCTAGTGAGGGTTGGCAAAATAAATCGTAGCCAGAAAAAGAACCACATAGTAAAATAATATTAACATGAATATCAATTTCTTCTCACGAGGGGAGACTATAGTGATAAGATCCTTTATATTTATTGAAATTATTGAATCTAAATGAGATAAATATCAAATGATTTGAAAATTCTATTCTAACTCAAAAAAAAAAAATGCAAAATTTTAGAAGCCACAGACGGATTTGAACCTCGTAGCCTAGGCGTGAAAGATTANAATTTTGGTAGTCACAGACTACTTGAAAGATCAAGATGTTACCCATTCGGCAACTGTTCGTTGCTTTTTGTTGCATGATAAAATTGGCTATTTAAGCTAACTCAAATTTAAAAATTACTTTTTCGACTTTAAAAAAGTAAAAAAATTTTAATGGTATAATATCATATGTCTTATGAACTTTATTCTATGTCAATGAAATTATATAATATTCATGAAAGTCAGTTTATTCCCCTAATAAAATATTTTAAAATAAAATAAAATACAAAACCTAGAATTTTAATAAAAAATAGCATATTTTTAAATACGGTAGCCTTTTGCGCATAGAAGATAGGTCGTCGGGACAAATTTTTTTTTTCATTTAGTAGTACATAAAATAAGCTTTAATTTGATATATGTTTAAAGGACGCAGTATTTCCGGAACATTTTCAAAAGTTAAGTTGAAAAAGTTAGTTTTTGTAAAAAAGTTGCACTTTTAAATCCCCCCCCATGAGCAGGTTGTGTTAAATTTTCAAAAAAATTATATCAAATGAAAGGAATATATCTAAGGTTTTAGTTTAAAAAAAAATTATGTTGATTTGTTGATTTTTGAAAAGTTATGGAAGTTTTAAGAAAAAAAAGTGAAAAAAATGACAAAATTTGTCGATTTTTAAATTTGTTTTTTTTTGGATATTTCCACCATTTGCGGGGAACGAGGGAAAATTTTTTAATTTTTAAGGGTAATGTCTTCAACTAGATACAATTTGTGATCTTTTGACGTATTGTTAAAAGAAATCGGTCTAGTGAGAGCTGAGAAAAAGTAGTGACAAACACAAAAAAAAAAAAAAAAATAAACGCATCATGGTAAAATTAATACCTTCTCAGCTAATATGGATTTTTTTTTCTTTCTTATGTGATCATAAGTGCGTTCAAAAGAATTAAGAGCAACTTTGAATTGGGTATTATATAATCATCTATAATTGCTACTTATTAATATTTTAATTATTTTCGTTGATTATTTCACGTGAAGTTATTTATTATTATTATTATTATTATTATTGCTTTTTTTCTCTATTAATTAATTTTAATTGACCATGATTTGGTGTTAATAGCGCGGCAATAGTATGCTCGTTTATTCTGGTTTGTTTTTTTTGTGTATTTCCTATTAAAGGTTAATTAAAATTTTTTTGTTATTATAATGGCGGATGTGAATGAAAACAGATCGGAACGCGAAATGCGAAGTTTGATTAGAGCCCGAACGACCGCGATTTTAGCGAGGGATACTGTTGTCGCTCGAATCCGATCCATCGTCGACATGTCTGTGGCTTTAGACACTCAACCAGCACTTGTGCCGCGTTTTTTAGTTGCCGCTAATGATCTGGAAACATTATGGGAGAGCTTTCTTATGGCGAATCAAGAAGTATTGGACGCGATGCTAGATTTAGACTGTACGAATGAATTTTCTATAACTCTTGAGTCAGAGGTTCGTCAATTATATGTTATCGCAGTCAGTGTTGTCGAACAATATGAACCATCAGGTGCCATCGAACAAGAACAAATTAATGGTTCTAATAATTTAAATGATTCACAACGGTCTAACCTGATTCAACTTGATTCACATATGTCTGATAGCCACGTGCCGCCTACGGGGCATTCAGATAATGAAGTTTCTCAGCCTATTACCACTGCCACGACTAGCACTGGTGATCCTAATCTATCCATATGCAACAATAATATCGGATCACGAGATATTAAATCGTATAGTCAGGTTCCACTCGTATCGCGGTTACCGGAAATTCCATTGCCGTCTTTTAGTGGTGACATTTTTGGATGTCCGGTTTTCCGGGATCGATTTACCGCATTAGTGGTCTGCCGGCAAGACTTGTCTGACATCGAGCGTTTTTATTATTTGTTGGGCTGCCTTCATGGTGAAGCTTTGATAGCAGTTAGAAATATTACGTAATTATACGTTGGCCTGGTCTACATTAACCCATCGTTTCGATAAACCCAGACAATTAGCTACACTTATCGTTGAGAAGCTCATCTGTACACCACCTCAATCGCAGGAGAGTTTAGACGGGCTGAGAGAGTTCTTAAATTTGTTCTCAGACAATGTATCTATGCTTCAATCGTTAGAAGTACCAGATTTAGGGGAATTTTTGTTGTTCTCATTATCTATGCGGTGTTTACCAGTAGCTACTAGAAAGGGTTTTGAAGCTGTCAACAATCAGATGTTTCCAAAATTAGCCGATATTGTGTCTTATGTGCTTAATAGATTGTCCCTTTTAGAGGTGGTCAATATGTCTGGTGGATCACGTCAAGTTTCTACCTCGGCTACATCAAAGTATGCGTCTGCACCACGCAGTGGGGATCGAAAGCCAAAGACTACGCTGGTCACGTCACGGCCTAGTGGTTCCGCGTCGGTCAATTGTTTATTTTGTAATGGGAGGCATGAGTCTGTCAGTTGTAACAAATTTTTAAATATGTCAGTCGAAGATCACTTTAAGATAGCACGGGATAAACGAGTGTGCTTCCGATGTCTTAATTTCAAACACTGGTCCACTCATTGTTAAGCTTTCAAGCTGTGTGATCGTTGCTCGGGTCGTCATCATTCTCTTCTACATCAAGAACGTGAAGTGGGGCAAGATAGTCCTGTCGCTCCGGAGACCTCTCTAGTTAATTCGTCTAGTCAACATACTGTTCTATTGGGGACGGCCTTGGTGCATATAAAGGATCGCGCAGGTTGTATGCATTCGGTGCGGGCGTTGATTGATTCCGCTTCTCAAGTGAGCACCATCACAACGTCATGTGTAGATCGGCTAGGATTACAGCGTTCTAAGTGGACGGTTCCATTGACGGGCTTGTCAGGAGTTCCCGTTCCAAGCATCAGCAGAATGGTAGAGTGTTGTGTGACCCCGAGATACAACGTGGACCATTGTCTAACGGTTAAGGCCTGGATTTTACCCAAAATTACGGGTTCTATGCCGTCAACATTAGTAGCACCACATATAAAGGACCAATTTTCCCATCTGGCCCTAGCAGACCCCTCGTTCGATCGTCCGGCACCAATTAACTTGTTACTCGATGCGGACGTCTTTGCCCAAATCATATGTATGGTAAACGTTTTAGTTTGGAGGATTCATCTCCAGCAGCTTTCGGGTCATTATTTGGATGGATTATAATCGAACCCATCGCCAACTCATCAATCACTCTACAGTCCAATTTAGCGTGCCTTACGGTGTCTTTGGAAGATATGGTTCAGCGATTTTGGAGGTTGGAAGAGCCGGAGTTAGCTCCATCTACTTTCACTGCCGACGGTCGATGTGAAGGTATCTACTGTGCCGAGCGCGTACGTGATGACCAGGGACGTTTTTCTGTTCCTCTGCCGTTTCTAACGGAACCAGCTCCGGATGAGTTTTCCGGATCCCGACAAGTAGCTTTACGTCGTTTCCAAAATCTGGAACGTAAACTAACCATAGATAATAAGTTAGCCGAAGAATATTATGCGTTCATTGGCGACTACCAACAATTAGGCCATATGTCCATTAGGGTGTCCCTTATTTATAAAATTTAAAAATTACAAAGTGCCACCCCCTAAAATTATTCGAATACATGAAAAAATAAATTGTACAAAATTTGGAGACTATTGGTCAACTCTAAGACGTGTCCCAAGGGGGTTAAAAATAACCCCCCAAGAGTGATTTTTTAGTTTTTTTTGTCTATCTCAAAAACTTTAGCTTTTGCGAAAAAGTTTATTTGAACTTTTTTTTAGGTATACAATTTTTCTATAAAAAGTATATTTACAAAAATTTTCGAAAAGTTCTTATTTAGCCCTAAAAAAATAAAAACGTTTATATTCTATTCTTACCGTTGAAATTGTTAATTTATAAATCGTTCATTATAAAAACATAAAAAAAATTCATTTAACCGTTGTTTTAAATTTAATTTTCTATACATTTTTAATTCGACATTTTTTCTATTATTTACTATTCAAAACCTACAATTTTTTTAATTTTAATTAAAAAAAAAACAAATCAGAGTAAAATTAATACCGTCTCAGTTTCACATTGAAGCTAAAATAATGTTAACTTACAAATTTGTATACAACCAGAAACTTTATAAACTTGTAATAAAAATACATAATGAACGAATATTTAACTCATTGATTGACAATTCAAATTGGCCCTGAAACAAAAAAAATTATTATTTTAAAAAATTAATTATAAAAAAGTATTAATTTTACTCTGATGTGTTTTTTTTTAATTAAAATTAAAAAAATTGTAGGTTTTGAATAGTAAATAATAGAAAATATGTCGAATTAAAAATGTATAGAAAATTAAATTTAAAACAACGGTTAAATGATTTTTTTTTATGTTTTTATAATGAACGATTTATAAATTAACAATTTCAACGGTAAGAATAGAATATATACGTTTTTATTTTTTTAGGGCTAAATAAGAACTTTTCGAAAATTTTTGTAAATATACTTTTTATAGAAAAATTGTATACCTAAAAAAAAGTTCAAATAAACTTTTTCGCAAAAGCTAAAGTTTTTGAGATTGACAAAAAAAACTAAAAAATCACCCTTGGGGGGTTATTTTTAACCCCCTTGGGGCACGTCTTAGAGTTGACCAATAGTCTCCAAATTTTGTACAATTTATTTTTTCATGTATTCGAATAATTTTAGGGGGTGGCACTTACAAATATTAAAAAAAAAAAAACCTCTCATGTAGCTAAGGGTCACCCTAATGTCCATTGTGACTACCCCTGGAGTGTATTTCATTCCCCATTACTCAGTGTATGCAGGATCACCAGCGACAAGTAAACTACGCGTGGTGTTCGATGCGTCGGCTACGTCCGGATCTAAAAGTTCTTTAAATCAGTGTCTCTATACCGGACCCAAGCTACAACAGGACATTGTTGATATTTTATTTCGGTTCCGTATTTATGAATATGCGTTCACAGCAGACGTGTGTAAAATGTACAGGCAGATTTTGGTGCTTCCAGAATACCGAAAGTTTCAACACATATTTTGGAGACCATCTCCATTGGATAAAATTGAGGAATTTGAACTCAACACGGTAACTTATGGTACAAATTGTGCTCCGTTCCTTGCGTTGCGAGTCTTACAGGATATTGCGGAACAGGAGTGCACTGATTTACCACAGGTTCGTAATGCGTTGCAACGCCAAACCTTTGTCGATGATATTTGTGTGGGCGCATCCAGTACTTCTGAATTGCTACAACTTCAATCTGATTTGCAGATGGTGCTTGGTTCGGCTGGATTAGAATTGAAAAAATGGTCTAGCAATTCCGTCCAGGTGCTATCGGCCGTGTTGCCGGAAAATAGAGCGGTCACGGCTGTAAACTTTAATGACCACGATGGTGGCTTGGTTAAGGTTCTCGGTTTGCAGTGGCAGTCGTATAAAAATGTGTTCGAGTTCAAAGTACAGTTGTCATCCAAGGCTTTCACTAAACGTTCCGTTCTATCCGCCATAGCACAAATTTTTGACCCCCTGGGTTTCATTGCCCCTGTGGTATTTCATGCAAAGCATATTTTACAGCTCATTTGGAAAACTGAATTAAATTGGGATGACCCGCTACCACAGTATTTGGCCGCCAGATGGCAAGCATTCGTTGAGGATCTTAACGCGTTAACTAACATTCAGATATCCAGACACATCTCTGTCGCGATATTTCGCTCAATTTATTGGGTGTAATTTAATTAGTAAAATTGTCGAACAGAGGTCTGATATTTAGTGTGTATCTTGCGCGAAGAAATAAGTGTCAAAATAGAATACTTAAGAAACAAATTTTTAAATATCAAAATTATATGTAAAAAGAATGTTTTATAAATGAAAATTTCTAGATCTAAAGTTAATTAAAATTAAATATAAATGTAAAAATATCAAATTGTATGTTAGTAGAAGTTTGTTGTTTACCATTATTTTTCAGAAATGGAAATACTTTGGTATTTAGGATATTGTAATGAATCAAAATAGAAGTTTCGAGATTATTCCAGAAATTTCTAAAATAATCTTTACACATAAATAATTAACAATTTTAAATACTTTTCTGACCGACTATTAGTTTATTATTTTTTACAAATACATCGTTCATTTGGAGCGATGTTTGTATTAATGTTTATCTTTTTAATTACCATAAGCGTATCTGTGGCGCCGAACAGACGGCAGGATTAAATAGTTAAATTTTTAAGAAAAACTAGCCTCCCTTCATCACCTTACCAACTAGTTTAATATAAAAGGGCTAGTAAAATTAGCACAGACACACACTCTCTCTCTTGTACGCTCTTTCACTTGCATACTCTCATTTTTCACGTTAAAAGTTAATAATGAAAAATTTATGTTACTTTTGTTAATCTTAATTATTAAACTTATACAGGGTGATTTTTTTATCATAACCCACTCAATTACTTGCAGAATAATAATAATTTAAACATTTTTTTTTTTCATTATCTTTAGTTACACATTATTCTTGAATTTTTAACTATGTAATACTTTTTAAGTTCATCCCTTATGCCTTGGAAGGGGGTCAACTTTGTTTTTTTAAATGGTAACACATATTTTTAATTTAATAAAATGTTTGAGTTTTTAATTTAATAGTAAATGGCATTTGAATTTTTAATATAACTTAATTCGTTTATTAGATATAATCATTTAAAGTTTCAAATTTTTGAGTTAATATATATGTATAATACACATGGGATTACAAATACAGGTAGCTAATTGGTTTTTTATAACATCGATATTAGCAGGTACACAGCGTTGTTATTATCAATTGTAGTAAGACACATTGTTATGAGTATACAGGGTGTTCAGTAAGTCAGGAAACGGGTTTCAATTGTTCTCATTGTTTGTAACAATGAGAACAATAGATACCCGTTTCCTGACTTAGTGAACACCCTGTATAAATACACTAACTGACAATACAGAAAGTATATCTATTGATAATCATAATTGATAATAAACAATCCGTGACTGAGACAGCAATGTCATAAAAATCCAATTAGCTACCTGTATTTACAATCCCATGTGTATTATACATGTATATTAACTCAAAATTTTGAAACTTTAAATGTTTATATCTAATAAGCTAATAAAGTTATATTAAAAATTCAAATGCCATTTACTATTAAATTAAAAACTGAAACATTTTATTAAATTAAAAATATGTGTTACCATTTAAAAAAACAAAGTTTACCCCCCTCCAAGGCATAAGGGATGAACTTAAAAAGTATTACATAGTTAAAAATTCAAGAATAATGTGTAACTAAAGATAATAAAAAAAAAAAAAATGTTTAAATTATTGTTATTCTGCAAGTAATTGAGTGGGTTATGATAAAAAAATCACCCTGTATACATTTGTTAAAATAATTAATTAAAAATCATAGAAATAAATTCAGTATGTTGCCCCTTATACCAGTATTTTTATTTATTTAATTTAACTTAAAATATCAATGTCAACAAGGAACATCACAATACACCATTTATCTACGAATCCATTTGGATGTCAAGGTAAGTGTAGTCATAAGACATGCACTATATTCATGTAATATTAAGAAATAGGACAGAGTGGGTAAGAGCTAGGATTAAGATGATATGAATGAATCTAACACAATCCAAATAAATTATAACCCCTTTCCTATCATCTTCCCCACATCTTTAACATCCCTCTCTTCCCCCATCTCTTTTCTTTTTATTACAATATTGATCCTCAAAACAATTTTTAATACATTTTATGGTATTATTAAAGTTTTCATCATTTACAAATTTATACGGATATTAATTTATACATATGCTATCTTTTATAGAATGGTGTTTGAGGAGACATGTTGTGAATCTAAATGCCAAATTTCATCCTCATCAATCGAGTTGTTAATTTTATCGTTTTGTATTTCTACGTTATATTTATCTAAAAATCGAATTTTAGATTAATTTTTAGTAGTGCTAATTTCTTAAAATATTTAAATTAGGTTAATCCAATAATTTGGGCTGACTCTCTTTGGAAACATTGTTATGCTTTTGCTTGTGATTATTCTTAACCATTCGATGTGGCTCCAATTACTAAACATGCCTACCCAATGTGTGTGGTTATAGGCTAATCTCAATTAAAATTCTACGTCATATTTGAGGTAGTGAGCTATTTGCTCACTTAACCAAGCAATTGGTTTGCATTTAAAGTAATTTTTAACATCACTTTCCCAAATACATTGGATATCTATTAAGTGATAATTTTTATACCTAATTTGTTGCACCTGACATTTGTTACATAGAATTTATTTAGTGCATTTAATATATTTTGTTGTCCATCATGTTATGATTTCGTAACTGATTACATAGGTGAACCATATTTATAATTTATTGGTGATTATTGTTATTTTATGAAGAATTTATTTATGGAAAATTAATTATTTAATTAAAATGTTACTTACAGTTCTGATTCTTCTTAATGATCTTGGTGTAGTAAATAATTTCTTATAAGATTAACGCTATATGTTAACATATACACTATAATATAGTGTATAATATACACTGTATATGTTAATTTTTTATCATCATTATGTGTGAAATTATTATTATGTATTATATATTTATAAACAACAACATTTTTTTTTGAAAAATATTGCATCAAGCAGCTTTAATTTTTATATATGTTTGACATAAAAAAATAAATGCTTTATAATTTTGTATAATTTCTCCGTAAAAATTACAAAAATAAATTATTAATCACCAATATTATACTATTTTTAATTGCAATAATAAATATTCATACAAAACACTTATACATCATTCAATTTGCATCAAAACGTTTCTTATGATAGTGATTTAAAACAGTATATTTATGAGAAAAGTTTAAAATTTCGTAAAAATTATTATTATTATTTTAGCTTCGATGCGAAGCTGAGAAGGTATTAATTTTACTATGATGTGTTTTTTTTTTATTTTTTTTTTTGTGTCTGT